TTGCTAGATGTTTCCGCGCCGGGACCGCCGCGCGGTTTCCCACTTTTCATTTATTTTTGAAATAGGCGTTTCGATTTTATATTATAAGATATATTTATTATCTACATATATTACAAGAAAGGGGAAGGGGGAAGACTGACAAGGCAGCCTTACGGTGCGCGGTCGTAGGGGGTCACTGGCTCCTATCTGACCTTCTCGGCCAGCTCGCGGGAGAGCAGCAGGCGGAGCTTAGCTGCGTCCCGACATTTAGCTTTATGAAAAAAATTTTTTCGGGGATGTGGCTGACGCCACGCCCCCTTTTTCTAAAATTTTGGGCTTACGGGCCCGCGAAAATTTTGAGAAGCATATCAAAAAATTTTTCTGGGTGATCAGAAAAAATTTTTTGAAAGATCAGAAGAGCAGAAAAAAATTTTTGTCGCCCCCCCCCCCCCCAAGCCGAAATCTTGGTACGCCACTGGTATTCCGGACTTTTTACCACTTCCTCCATAATCTCCATAGTTGTCCACTCGAGCATCCCTCCACAACTGACATCTCTTGGCGCCGCTACTTAAGCCTGGGAAAACCATCGCTCGTAACTTTTCCCAGAAATTCACTGAGCAGCTAAGAAACACGGATTTGACTTGAGTGCCCCAAGACCAGCCACAATGATATGCATCACGTATGGGAGCCCCACTTCGAACGAGGGTCCTTCCCTTGTTGGAAAGCTTTTTTCCTCTTGTTTCGTAAAGGCTTCGAGAATCTTAGGCTCTACCCTGAAAATTCAAAACTTGATTTTTCGAAACCGTTACCGACATTTGTCTTGTAGAATTAGTGTACAATATGGCCGATTTCTGGAAGTTTCAAATAGTGAAGATTTGTTGGTGGAAGCTTTGTGTATTTTATGAGTTCGCAAAAGTGAAGACTTTCAGAAGAATCATTTTAACAAATACGAAAACCCAGTTAAAGTCATCCAAACAATCTTATATATAAAGCTGAATGTCTGTTTGTATGTCTGTATGTCTGTCTGTACGTATGTTCCGAATAGAAAATTCCATTTCTCAACCGATCCGGACCAAACTTGGCACACATACACTTCGGGCCCCGGCGGGTGTCACAGTCCACTTTTCGTTATCGATCGATGTCGATTTTATCGATTTTTTGCAAAATTTGAGCTAGGGGGCTGGAATTTGGCAGAGGGGTGTAATCGAGCATGCTGATCACCCCCACGGGGGTGATCAGCATGCTCGATTACCCCCCTGTGCCAACTCCCAGCCCCGTAGCTCAAACTTTGTAAAAAATCGATAAAATCGATATCGATCGATGACGAAAAGTGGACTGTGACACCCGCCGGGGCCCGAAGTGTATGTGTGCCAAGTTTGGTCCGGATCGGTTGAGAAATGGAATTTTCTATTCGGAACATACGTACAGACAGACATACATACATACATACATACATACATATTTATATATAAGGTTTTGACGAGCTAAGGGAATGTAGATATAACCGCTCTTAGGCAATAGCATCGGACGGGCGGCTTCAAGTACCAAACTCAAGCGCTTTATTTTTTTTGACAAAAGTCTGACGTGAAAGCTCAATTAGCGATTGGATGATGAGACGCGCTTTTGCAGTCATTTGTAATGTAGATCCGAGTAGATAAGCAGCGATCAAGAGCTAAAAAGTGCTCATTTTTGTATCAGCGACATTGTCAGCTGATTCTCCTGGCGCCTACCAAGTGCTGCACTTCATCTACTCCGAACTAAAAAATGAATAAGGGTAATAAAAAATAGGAATGATTGTAAGCGTGAGTTTGTGAAGCAGGCGTATGAGCAGAATGAGGAACCGTAAACGAATGAAGTAGTCTGGCGTTGGCAAGTGACGTTAAAGGCAGCGTCCACCCAGAATTTGGCCCCCCATGTTTTCGTCATTCTGGGGCCTTTCCGTGACCCTGATTACAGTTCCGAACTTCAAACTCTCTAAAATTTACAAAAAACCCGATTCTTGGGGACCCAGTCTTGAGGGCGCGGACGAGTCTCGAATTGCTCGTCCCCGTCGGCAGGCCAACGGAAAGGAGCTGCAACTGCATGGGTGCAGTTGCATTGCAGTGTGCAGTGTGCAGCTTCTGCTCACTACCTTGTCAATACGTGTCGGGAGGCACGTATTGACAAGGTAGTGAGCAGTCCCTGGTGGGCGGAGTCTGATATCAGACTCCGCCCAGCCAGGGATTTTCAGGCCCCTTATCTCCATTCAGAGACAACGTTAGAAGACCGGACCAACGCAGATGCCCCTTTTCTGGGGCCTACATTCAGGACCGACACTAATCGGAGGGGGTTAGGTTTAGCCTGGACACTGCCTTTAACAAATCTTGTCGTGTGGAGTTTTTGATTCCCAGCAAATTTGGACACCATAATCCCCGCCCTTCGATTGCAGGCTTGTCGGTCGATCAGCGATGCCGCTGGTCGGTGCTTGCACGAGCTCACCCGGTACAATTTCACCGCTAGGCGCCGGATTGGCTGATGGCCGCTCAGCCGGTGAATGTAACCGCCGCCTGGTACTCTCTGATTGCGGGACGCGTCTAAGCTCGTATCCTGTAGGGTCTGTTCTCTCCATCCATTACTTGAGCTTCCTCGAGATTTAGTATGAAGATATTAAATTAGACTTGACAATAACAAAAATATCTGTTTTGGTGATTTCTATAGGAGCTCGTACATTGCACTGCAATGGATGGATAACCGTTTGAAATAAGAAAAGACACATTGAATGCTACCTAGATCCTATAGATCTTTGTTTCGCGCATTGCGGTGCCCAATCCAAAAAAGTAAAAGTATTTTTTGGGACGAGCTAATATATATGTGTTCCAGAAATGTGCCTACTGTTTGACTGTTAATAACTCTTTTGTCATGAAGCTTTTTGAAAGCTTTAGCATTTCGTGGATCTGGCTTCAACTTAGATTCGCAGTATGGAAATCACCGATCGCTATTCATTGTTGTAGAGTTAAGGTAGAAACTTCGAAGAGGGTTTGAGCCAAGGGCCGTATTATTTTTTTATTGGTTTTAAAGAAGGAACAAAGCTATAAGTCGCTGATCTGAATATAAACTATGCATCTCATCGTAATGCTTCGTACAAGACTCATGCCAGATACGGTGGCGGCCGTCATTTCGTTGTTTTGAAAAAAATATGTTCACATCCCTTTAAAAAACTTCAAAACCTTGTACAAAGGTCACTATCAAACTTAGCGTCCGCGAAAACCGTATCCAAGTTTTTGCATTTTTTTGAAAATGTTCGAAACAGCTGCATTTTCACAGCAACGCAGTATGCAATAGGTTTCTACCGTAATTTTAGAGTAATGAGAAACGATCTGTGGTTCTTTCGATACTGTAAATCTAAGCTGAAGCCTGGCCTACAAAATGATACCTATCTTTTCGAAAGACTCCATCACAAGAGAGTTATTGACAATCAAATAGTAGGTACATTCTTTGGAACGGCCTGAATATTAGGTTTGGTGCAAAAGTGTCGCACACTTTCAAAAAGTCATAACTTCTTGTTCGCTTGACGGATTTGCACTATTTTATTCTTATTTTTGCTAAGGGAATCGTCTTATTTGTGATAGTATCTTTGTTGCTTTCCAAAAAGAGTAGCTTTTGAGATCGAAGTATGAGAATGAAATCATTTTCACGTTGTTCACTATGAGTCAGGCTGTTAGTTTGAAGACTCAGATAAAATTCAGGGCAAACTGCATGATATAAGTGATTGCACTTTTCAACAGTGCAAAGTTTGCTTGTTGCATATCAAATTAGCATTTCTCTGAATAATCATGACTTTCGAAAATGCCAGAAAATTTGTTGTTTACTCTCTTCCCTTAGTAAAAATCATAACTTTTGATAGAGATGCTCGTTTGACGCTAGCATTGCACAATGAAAAGCGTGGATGAAAAGAAACAAAGAACCATGTCGCAACTGGCAATGGATTTTATAGCAGGTTTTGGAATTTTTAGCTGCCTAACTTGACTGAACTAATTCATGTCTTCGAACGCGGCCTAAGCTGCATTTAAGAAAGAGATATGTTATTTCTCTTTGAACGCTCACTTGCTTTGAAATTAGTGTGGTATTCAATTTTGAAAGTTTCAATTTCCAAATATTTGTTAGTCGTTCAAGTTATTGTCATATTTTTGAAATGACCCGCAAATCCCGTACAGTGATAATGAGCATACGTTTCAAGCGGCATCCGATGCAAAATTCCTTCCTCTTTGTAGCTGCCATAACCACAGTGTAATTAAGAGCGTGCTGAATTGCAAGACATCACAAAAAAGTATGTACACAGTTTTCAATCGGTAATGACTCTCTTCCCACAAAGTCTTTTGCTTAACTTGAAGTACCACACGGTAGAACAGGCTCTATCTTAGATTTACAGTATGGAGCGAATCATCCATCACTCCTAACTACTATAGGATACGGTAGGAATCTTGAAGAGAGTTTCGAGCTATCAGTGGTTACACTTCACAAGGAATGAAAATCCAACAAGCTGCAAACTTCAAAAACTTTATCACTGGGGTAAAATGAGTCGCTGATTATGAATACGAAGCGTGCACTCTATTGTGGGACTTTTCTCTATAAATTATGCTAGAAAAACCGCAACAACCTTTTATCAGTATCCTTCAAAATGTAATTAAATATTTGAAACGCTTCCGAAACTCGTAAAATGTCCAGTGAAGTACGCATGTCTAAAAGCACTGTTACACAACTTTCCAGATTTTTTGATTTTTTCTGGATTTTTTCAATGGCGCTCTATGCTGGAAGCTCCTACCGTAGTCCAGTAATGAGGAGCGATAAGTGATTCGCTCCATACAGTAAATCTAAGTTGAAGCCTGCTCTATTTGATGGTACTTGGAGCCAACCGAAAAACCTTGTGGACGGATTTATTGCGATTGAAAAATGTGTACTTACTTTGAGAAACTTTGTATTTTTGCAGCTATCACATTTGTTTCAACGCTCTATAATTTACAGTGATGCAAAATTATAATAGATCAAAACTTACCAACTACAGCATAAAGCCCAGGATAGATTGGTGGGCCAGTGTTTCCTCTCATGCCCCTCAGGAAAAACGAATCCATAATTTCGCCCACTAAACGAATTCGTAGGATCTCATGCTCTATCAGTGGCAACAGCCATGATCCTAGATTTACTTACCTAGTCTTCCTCCTGCAGCTCCTATAACAAAAGATGGCACAAAAACACCGGCAGGAATGTTGATAGAGATGCAAATAGCAACCAATAAGAGCTGAAATCAATTTTAACATTTTACGTCCATCATTATTTTTAACTTACGTAAATAATATAATAAGTAGCGAGTGATGTAAAGATAGTTACAGCTCCATCGCGGTCCAGTGCTGAATGAGGTGTTCGGGGCATCTGAAGAGGATTTTGGCCTAGTATTTTGTGATGCTAGCTGACAACCCTTTGCGAAAAGCAGCGCTGAGGTCAATTTTTGAGTCAGCAGAACTCACCGCCTCGAAGTTTCATTTGTATACCAAGTGCAATTGTTGAAAAAATCTCCCATCGTTTCTCGGAATGTGAGCTGAACAAGTAGACTCATTCTGATAATTACACATCAACAGTGAAGTAACATCAACACTAAGAAAAAGAGATGCTCTATCAATCCTTACAGCAAACGGTTACTATTCGTTGGGTGCAAAAAGAATGTCCGTTTCTAGGCTTAGTACGACTTTTTCCCATCAAACGTTCTTTTTTTATATAGATTTGCATATCGTTGAAAAGCTTCTTCAAGTACTTTCCAAGAATCGTACTACGCTTTTTCTTCTGTGAGAATTTCATCGGCATTTTGCACATCCGCACTCAAAATTAAAATTCCATTGCTTCCACTTTCTTGGCCACAATTCAGGCGCAGATGGACGTGGACTGAGAAATCGACGCCTCAAGACAGATACTGGCATTCTATGGGTCAAAAATTTCCCACGATTAAGGCAATTGTTTTTGTAACTCAAGATCAAGCATCTTACAAGGGAAGGATACTGATTCAGATTCGCCTTTCGAGATGGCACACATATATTTGGAATCAGCTTTGAACGCTAATTCCAAATATGCTGTTCCTAGCTGCTTAGCATTATTCCAAAGCGAGTTATGGGCTTGTTGTTGTGAGAGACTAACAAACTTCTGAACGTCGTAAGACGACGTATAGAGAGAATGTGCTCGAAAAAAGTGCTAGGATATTGGACTAGCATCAAACTAATTCTTTCAATCTTGAAAGGAAGCATTACACAATGACAAAACCACCTAAACGTCGACACCGTAGCATCAGTAGGTCGAGGAGCACGCAAACTCTGCGTAGAAATGAGACCATAACTCGCTTCAGAATAACGCTGAGCAGCTAGAAACAGCAAATTTGGAATCAGCGTTCCAAGCTGATTCGAAAAATATGTGTCACATCTCAAAAGGCGAATCTAAGTTAGTATCCTTCCCTTGTTAGCTACAATTCTTTGCAAGAAAACGTAGCTATTCAGAACCCTGAGCGTATTTGACGAAAATGAAAAGGAATATCCAGTGCATAAAGAACTCTAAATCGTAAGTTGGGACTTTCAGGCCTACCACCATTAGACTCAAAAAAGTAAACGATTTTGGATTCCTATCTTCTCTTTTCGCACAACCTTCGTTGAAGTCTGTTCTATACACGCATACACTACAGGATTGCGTCTACAAAATAAGCCGATTATCGGCCATAGGAACAGAACTCAAAGGGAGTTGTAATTTTTCGAAAAGGAGGTTTTCAAAAGAAAATTTTGAGTTTCTTGACGCATGGCTTTGTTCTTGATTACGAGATTAGAATGAGCAGGTGCGTGTATTGTTGTTGGAGATTTTACTGCTCGTGATAGTTCTAACTTATATCCAAAAACACGAATTGGACAAAGTTATAGCTTTTCTAAATGGAACTTTGCAAAACGGACATTATTTTTGCACTAATCTAATACCTTCTTTTCGTCTTCAAATATAATAACCATGATTAGCGCAGTAAAAGATTATTACTGCTGACGTTGATGAGAATCTCCAAGACTTCAGTCGCAGACGCCAACAGTGAGTTCGTTTCCCCTCTCTGACGCTTATTTTTACTACCACGAAAGGAACTCATCAGCAACGCGCGTCAACGAACGTTCACGCAATACAAAGCTCTTTCCTCTCTCCCCCTCCCTTTCCGTGAAAATGGAAGGGAGTTATTTAAATGTCTAATTGACTGGTAAAATGCGGGCAGCTTTTCACTATCTGTAGATGGCCAAGATAATTTTAAAACTATATTGTCTAAGAAATCTCAGCAAACTTCGCAAGGCACTGCTGACCTCTATATTTTTGGAGTGTCCACCTCTTCTATCTGAAAAATCTGAGAAAAGTTCAGGGAGTTTTTAAATTTATCTGATACTCAATAAATGTCAATAAAAGGAAGGCTAGTTCGGTGAGGAAATTCATCATTTCTGATCTTGAGAGTAAAACTTGAGGTTGGGTTGTTGCTACATATCTTATATCCAGGGTCAAGCGTGTGGTGTGGCATGCCACACCTGGGGGGTCGTATTGAGGAATCAGAGGGAGGGGAGTCGTTATCAAGGCGTCCGCTGTTCGCATAACATGAAATTCGTTAACATGTCAAATAGGCTCGTCATGCAAAATACTAGCACATTCATGTTTGACCCATTATCGTATACGTACAGTAAGCATGATTAAAGATCTATAAAGCATAAGGGCATCGTTTTATAATCAGCAAGTAAAATAACCCCTGTGGTCCAAGTTTCAGCGAATTTTGAGGTTTCCAAATGCAGGACCACCTAATTGAGATGGTCGTTTTCAAACATGTTACTTTGTTCCATAGGTGAGTTAACTACTTCTTTTTGCGCTTATTACAAAGAACTACTAATTTTTTGCTCACATTAGGAATCCTACTTCAAATGACCTCCAAATTATGGAATTGTGGGCAAGCCAAAATCTCGTTTGTTCCATTTTTCGTTTTCAATATCTCAAGCTAAAGAAGATCAATCAGGCTCAAATCACTTTAATGTAGATTTCGAGGCTTAGGCTATCCAATATATGCATTTTTGTCCCTTTTCCTTGCTAGTCACGTAGTAGCGCGGACTTAACATGTTACCGTGTCCCAATATTTTTGCAGGTTTTTGCCAATATTTTACAATTGTAGGTAAGGAAAAACGATTATGTCTTGCTCTTGAAGAAACGTTTTCATAAGAAATTTCTGCTATGTAAAGAAAAAGGTTAAGCAGTAACAATGATGCAAAAAACGCAGCTATTTGATCTGTTTGAAGGTAAGTTAATAGTGTGTGGCACCAACCACCCCTTAGTAGCTGTGGCAGCCACAGCTTTTTAGGGGTGGTTCCACACCCATTAGCTATATAAAAAACCTTTTTAGCGAACGCTGTTTATGTGAATCCATAGCCTAGATCTCGTAAATTTCATAGAAGGGATTTGAGCCCGATTCGTCTTATTAGCTCTGAATAATATATGGTGAAAGCACAGCCATTAAAAGCGAAAAATAAGAAAAACAAGATTTTGTTTAGCTTCTAATTCCAAAGTCAGGAGGTATTTTCAAGCGAGATTTCTAAAATGAACAAAGAAGGAATAGTGCTTTGTCTTGAGTGCAAAAACAGCTAGCTACTTCACCTTGAAACAAAGTTAATCATGATGGAAAATGGCGATTTCACTAGGTGACCCAGTATCTTGAAACTTCGGAATTCGCTCAAAGGTTAATTGACATGCTAATTATGGATATTTATGATATGATATGTTGCCCGTTGTGTTTGACAGGGCCTTCAAGTAATGCTATCTTAGGTATATAGTTCACGGTCGGGGGGATTACTACCGGCCCTGAACTATATACCTAAGCTAGCATTACTTGAAGGCCCTGTTTGACAGGGCCTTCAAGTAATGCTATCTTAGGTATATAGTTCAGGGCCGGTAGTAATCCCCCCGACCGGGCGGCAGGTCTCGTCGGCAGGTCGCTGACACCTTTTCCGTGAGGTGGCCATAAAGTGAGACCCCAAATTTAGGCCGTCCCAATCCTTATTCCAAAGAGTTTTCTCGATAAAGATGCCGCCTCGGCTCTGTAGAAAACTCCATAAAAGTCTGCGGTTCCAGAACTCCTCCTTCAGTAAAATATCTGGAAGCGCAGGAGGAGCTGCCGGCAACTTCGCGATGTCAGTTGCCGGCAACCTGCCGGCAGCTCGTCGAAATCCGCGAGATGGCAGCTGCCGGCAGGTCAGAGAGCACGGGAAATAGCATGCTCTTTTGAGAGAGAGAGAGAGAGCTGCGGCATCTCGACGTGCCCCTACCACGTCGAGGTGGTGGCGCCTTTGCCGACGGCGTCTGTGAAAGTGCGTTATGGACAGTTGCGGGCGACGCCGCTAGAATGGCGCCTTCAATCACTTCGCGGAATATTGGAATTTTTATAAAAAAGCTCTCGTTTCCTCTTCATTTCTGCTGCTCACTTCGTCTTTGATGCTTGCAGTTCGTTTCAAATGGCTGATTTCAGGAGGCCTGAGAGGCTTGGGCCTCGCAGGGCCAGCCCCCCCCCCCCACCTCCGTTGAGGATCGCGATAGAGACGTGATCCGCTCACCAGTTGCAACATCACAAAAGAAGCGTTGTCAAAGGTAATTTGACGTTTTTTCTTTGATTCTGCTACTAGATGACTGATTTACAGCTGAAGCTGTGCATTCATTGTGCCCATACACATTTGACATTAGGTTTAATCTCGATTGTTTCTCTAATACTGTGAAACATGCTTCTGTAGAGGATCTGGAAAAGCAGAAAAGGCTTGTCATGGAGGATTGAATTTTTTTCTAGAATATTTTCATAGTTTCTTTTACAGGCATATCCATTCATTATCAAGAAACGTAATGAGCGTCATATGCTCGTTAAACTTCGTACACCATATCTAGTATATTCTCGGTTATCACCTGCACAGGAAGTTGTGGAAGATTCTATACGCGCTGATGACGATTTTCGAACAGTGAAGAGCGTGATCCTCTTACCACTTGCAACACCACAAAGGAAGCACTGTCTAAGGTGATTTCAGGATTTCTTTTCGTAAGGTTGCGACTAAGAGATTATTTCTACATTTTTTCGTTTAAGTTTCTCTGCTTGATTTGGGAATTTCTTCTGAAGATGTTTTTGATGGCGTTTTTGCATATTTAGGTTAATTTAATGACTTCCGTCTATGGAGCCATGCCAGTGAGCTCGCTCAAGCTCTTCGACTCCTTGCTCCCCTTTCCTATATATTTGGCGATTCAGCTGGCCGTCCCTCAGGAGCATCGTGCAGCGCTGACTCATAAGCGCTGCACGGGATTGATCATATGCATATACTACCATTGAATTGTGGGTATTATAATTATCCCATTGGTGC